GCATTTGTAACTTTTTTTTTTTAAAAATTTTTTTTTTTTTTTTTTTTTTTGGTAGAAAACCATTGATCAGAGAAATGGCGATATTGCCAAGGGAGTGCTCACTGGAAGAACAGGTATTTCTATCACTGAACTCAAATCAATTCAAATATAAATTTTTGAATTGACTCTCTAGAGGCCAAGGTGTTCATGGATTGATGGGGAAAAAAGATACTCATAGACTCACAGAAGCTTAGGTGTCTGTAGTCCAGTCTATACATTTACCCTTAGGTAAAACTCTCTCTAGCATTTCTGCCAGATATTTTTTCAGATTTGTTTATATGCTAATGTATTGATTAATATCTTAAGTTATCATATATATATATATATATATATATATATATATATATATACGTATGATACATGTATATTTGTATATATCTATGTATATTTACAAGTAGGAGGGGTTTTCAAAAAGTTCATGGAAAAATTCGTATATCTTTCAATTCTATTTTTCCATAAACGTTTTGAAGTACCTTCATATATGTGTGTACATGCACACACTATTAGAAAAATTTGAGTTTATGTTAAATTTCGCTTATTATTTACTATCTGCTAAAGTACCATGTTCTCAGAACTTTTATTTCTGACTACAGAATAAAGTTAGTTAAAAATTTTGTTAGAAAGTGGCTCATATGCTATAGGCTTTGGGCAAAGATTATTGATTTCTTAGTGATTTTCAATGAAATATAGTTTAAATAAAAGTGAGATTAACCTTAGTTTTAGAACTCAGATTCAGTTAAAATTTTTTTTTTTTTTTGGCAGCTGGCCAGTTAGGGGATCCAAACCCATGACGTTGGTGTTGTAAGGCTGCGCTCTAACCAACTGAGCTAACCAGCCAGCCCTAGATTCGGTTAATATGATTAAATATTTGTACCTGCCCATCCTGTGTCAGGTACATCTTTTGTACATTTTCTTCTTTAATCCCCACTGCAGCCTTGTGAGGTAGATGATGCTTTCTTTCTCTTGGAGTCAACAAGCATTTTCGGTGCTCTTCTATGGACTAGGCCCTGTTATAGGTGCTGGGATTCAGTGTGAACAAGGCAGGCAAGGTGTCTATCCCCCGGGGCAGGTCCAGCAACAGGCCCAGCTCATGTAGCTGTGGCCCAGGACACCAACTCCTAATTCTGCTCCTTCCATGATCCCACGTGGTCATCATGATTGTACGTACAGGTGGTTGGTGGATAGTTCATCATTCAGTCTTTCTCTTTCCTCATCTGCAGTATCAATGTGAAGATAAGAGGCCAGACGTGCCTCAGTTTCTTTTCCTATTTTAAAACAAAAACAAAGGCTAGAGTACCTCACAGGCTGGGTTAAACATCAAATCAAATGATTGATGTGAAAGAACAGTCCTTGTAAACTCTATGGGTTTTTAAATGTAAAAGTATTATTGGTATTTTGGGATTTGGTGTTATTTCAATAGAAGCTATCTAGTTTCTATATGCCATGATTCCTTTAAGTGGGGTTTTCATGCTTTTTTAAAGGTGCTCTAATTATATTGTTTGGAGAATAGTCCTAGTAGTTACATATTAATCTCATTGTATTTTTAGCATGCTGTCTCCAAGGATGTTGTAATACATACAGGTCGTATGCAAGCATAGAACCCAAGTAATCAGAATGATCGCTTTAGACAGTAAATTGCACCAATTTAGGATTATTTGAGGAGCTGAAGCTGTAGTTTGTGCCTGGCCAGGCTCCTTGTTTGTCTTCACTTTCCCCGTCCTGCCGTTCCCCTGTCCATTCTTTCAGGATTCTTTGTACTCAGTCCAAGAATGAACAAAGGCAGGAGAGAAGGCGAAACTTGCCAATCAACTTACCCGTATTTATCACTACTTGTATAGATTTGGTTTGAGTTAAAACTGTTAAAAAGAGGCTTATCTGTGCCTAGTAAATATACCTTTTCTCCCAGCCCTACATCTGGTTGAGACCTGAATGGTGTTACCCAGTGCTACAAAGAGAATTCTAGGGCAGGCAGGAAGGCAGGCGAGTTTATCAGAAGTCTTCTCAGAGGCTGCCTATTATCAGCTTTGCAAATTTTGGCAGTTTTAAATTATCTGTCACTCCTTTGCTTTAGTTGTCAGACCTCTTGTACCTCTGGCAGTTTTACTAAGTTTATGCCAGGTTTTTAAATAACACTCTCTTGGAATTATTTCAGTTTTTCTGTGACATCAAGCTGAAACCATAAACTGCCACAGATTTCTCTGCAGCTCTAACCTGTATGAAGGTTTATATGACTTCACATAACCCTGTCCCAGATTTTAGTCAGTCATCAATATTGTTAGCTTAAGCTGTACTCCAACAATGAGCATTTAATAATGATATTGTGGCCTTCCATTCACGAAATCCCTGTCATTCTAAGTGTGACCAGAGCTAAACTGATGTGTTAAAAATATTTTTAATGCTTATGATGTCCCATAGTGATTTGCTCTGAATCCTTCAGTAAAGATATTCAGTGTCAGCCTGATCAAGTCAGCTTCCTGCTATCTTCATCAAATGCTTTGGTTTCAATATAATACACTTTTTGTCCAGAGCAAAGTTAGTACAAGCAAAAATAATAACAATATTTATTTTATTTTATTTATTTAATTTATTTAATTTATTTATTTTTTAGCCCCTATAATGTGCTGGGTACTAGTCTAAGTACTTCTCATGTATTAATACATTTAATTCTCACGGTAACCTATGACGTAGGTACTATTATCAATGAGGAAATTGGGGTACAGAGAGTGCAAGAGACTTGCCTTAGGTCCCACAACTGGTAAGTAAACAGAGCCAGTAAATAAATCCAGGCATTGCGGCTCCTGGGGTTTGGGTTTGATAACAGAATATTAGTAACCCTTTGTTTTCTCTCCTTCACTAGGTTCAGAGGTATCTGCACTTCCATGTATGACAGACTCTCCAGGAAATGGAGAACCAGTAGTCAGCCCACACGTGGTTACCTCTCACCAGTCTAAAGTGACTGTGGAAAGGTGAGTTAAACAACAGACACAAATGAGCGCAAAACACTACTGTTTTTACCCCACCAACTCCACCAGAATTTCTGGGCCTGGCAGAATTAAAGTTTTAACATTAAGATTTATTTTTATTTGGGTTGATTAATTTTTGGTGGTGCTTATAATGCTATACTCTGAGAAAGAAGAAATATCTTTTTTTTGAGTCTTCAAATATAATGGTGACATCTCCACCTTTTAATGGTATATGCCAGTTGTATTTTAATCATACGTAATATTATAGTGAGTCACAGGTTTGTTCCACAATAAAAGTCATTTAGATGCCAGTACTTCTTATGACATATTATTAGTAACAGGGCTTTTTACTGAAGAATCAAACAGTTGCTAACAACAGTCAAGAAAGGAGTGTGGCTTGAAGAAAGATTACCTTTCTCTTCCCTTGCATTTATATCAATAGCATCACAAGAGCATTTTCAAAAACAAAAAATAAGGATAATCATGGCCTGTGCCTAAAAATCCCATCATGTGGAACTCGTAGAAATATTTTAATAATGTTCAAAAATTTTAGCTATGACTTCTTAATTAATGCCAGAGTCTTTGCTACTCACAAAGAATTGAAGGTGATCCTCAAATTACTTTTTTTCTTTATCTAAAAACATATACACTACACAATGTTTATAATGTAATTGGCAGCAAATAAAAGATAAGTCCTCCTACTACTGATATCTTTCTGAAACAGTGGAATTTTAAAAAAATTCTGTGTACTATAATTCCAAAGAGAGTAATTTTCTTGAGAGACCTTAATAATAAGCTTTCAATTATGTTGAATAAACTTATTGCCATAATCACCCAATATACTAAATGGTATTTTTTTGGGGAGTGTGGCGGCGCTCCCGCCAAGGGTTCTGATCCCATATAGAGACCGGTCCGCTCACTGGTTGAGCGCGGTGCGGACACGACACCGAGGGTTGCGATCCCGTTGCCAGTCACGAAAAAAGACAAAAAGGAAAAAAAATAAAATAAAATAAAATAAAATAAATGGTATTTTTTTCTTAGTTTTAGATTTTTTTTAAAAAAAATATTCATTTCAGCTGCCATAATTTGTGATGTTCAATTCATTGACTTAGATTTTTAGGAAAGAATAAAAAGTATCACAGGGAGAATCTCATTATTATAAGGAACAGGCAATGCGTACTACAGACTATTAAGCCACTGATCATTTAATCTGATCAATAAAACTAATTTATGCCTTAGCTGATTCTTTTCAGTAGTGAAATTACCAAGTAATTAATTATTATATAAGAAGCTGGAACATAATTTTAGTATGCAAAATGATATAAATAATAAAATTCTGTTTTCTCTTAGCCTCCTCTTCACACAGAAAAGTGACTGTAAATAAACCAAAATGAACTTACTGGTATCATCCATCTTTACCCAAGGAATAAATTGTCCTTTGCCATACATGTAAGATGATTTCCGTCAAACCATTAGGAAAAATATAAGCATAGATTTTTTCTACTCCCTCACCTAACAAGATTAGGCAGGTCCAGATTAGTATCAGATACAAACATCAGAATATGAGAATAGCCCAACAAATTAAATCCATTGGCTAACTACCCCAGGGTATCTCTCCTTTAAAGGAAAAATTCTAGCAGATTCCCAGAGTTACTTATATTATTTTAACAAATATAAACTTAGGCTTTGAGTTTCTGTAGCTTTTAATCATCTATAAAGCCAAAACAAGAAATTCCAAATTTAAGTGAAAAATAAAGCTGCTAGACTAAGAACATTTAAGTTATTGTGAAGAATCTCATTTTCTGTAATTAAGTGGATTATATACACATGGTACTGTCGATTCCTTTTTGCAGTAGGGATGGTTATGCTACCATGAGTCACTGATGATTCATTTCACTCACTGCTTTTCTCTTTTTGATATGCTTTAAAAACCTCTTTTCATACAGTGTACCGTCATGTCACTTGGGTTTTACGTGGCACTCACACAATGTTCGTTTAGCCGGTTTAATCTAGTTCATGTATCATTAGCCCTTGTCAGATAAGCCGGTGCTACCTGATAGCAGTGTGCTCTGAAATATAAAGGCAAAACGAAGCACTAAAATCATATAGCAAAACTCAGCTTTATGATAATCAGTCAGATGACCAGACAATTCCTTTGTTGATCTTTTAAAAATTTTTATCTGAGTGGAAACATAAATTTTTAAAAATTCGCGTAGAGAATTGCACCCCAATTTGAGAAACAATCATTTCTGAATGACACTGACCTATAGGGAATTTTTAATGTGCTATTAAGTTTGTTCCCAATTGCATGACACCAAGTGTATGAAGTGTAACCTAAGAAATTTTGTTTCCCCCTTAATTATTTTTAAATTTGTCTCCTTTGAATTTATTGAGATCAATCTTGAAATAATCTGTATTTTCACTTTGCTTTATCTCTTGTAGCAACATGTACAACAAAAGAAGAACATAAAGAAGAGCTTTTATTGCTCTCACAACTACTCTTGCAATTTCAAAGTTAGGACCCATATTTATCATAAGCTAGGTTTTAGAGAATAAGTCTTTTTTCACACCTCCCATACCCTTCATAGTTTTACAGATTTTGTTTCTATTTCCTATCTGTTTTCATCTTACAAACTGAATATTCCTATTATGCTTACTATATTAATCGGGGTCCATTCAAGAGAGAAAAACCATAGATTTGACCAGAAAAGGTTTTAAAGAATAATTAACTATGGCTTGTGATTGAAATAACAAGAGATTGGCTAGTAAGAAGTAAAGAGAACTCTGAAGAATGTAGGAATAGCAGATACAGGGAGCAGTCACAATCCCTAGGGGGTGCACCCAAGGAAGACCCACATCCCCTAGGACTGCAATCCAGATCTTGTTGGAGAGGGTATGGCTGGGACTCACTGGATGCCAGGAAGTTGCTGTGGTTTCTTGCCAGCAGAATTTTCCAGAAGTCCACCCTCTAGAGGGCCTGGGAAAACTGTTTGCCAGAGGCATTCTACCACAGATCTGCCCTGGTGGGGTGCTGGGGGAGGCTGCTGGCCACTCTGCACTGCAGGAGCCTGCTGAGCGAGCACACCCCAACCAGGAAGCAACACTCTCCTCTTGCAGCATCCCTCCTGCAGCCTCTCCTGACAAAGCTCAAGATTGTACCCGCTGGCAGAGGATAATGATTTGAAGAACCCAGATCCAGTTTCACAGGGCAGGAATGAGGGAGCTGAGAGGCAATCAGTCAATAACTGACACGTTTACCTTATCTTTAAAAGGCTCCCTGTCCAGCTCTTTGATCATTTTAGTCATATTCCTCTAGAGATTCCTCAGCATGAGTGTGGGGCTGAGGAAAAAGGTTCAGAAACAAGAGTCCTAGCCTGGATCCCTAGTTTTACCTCTGAGAAGTTCAGCAACTCTGGGATTAACCTACTTAATTAAGCCTTAACTTTCTCATGTGGACATGGCAATGTTTGCCATAAAGTATTGGGGGATCCAATAAAATACTGTCTGGGAAGGTGCTCTAAAAAGTGTTATACTGAGCAAATGTTAGATATCATTATCTTTATCCTCCCAAAATGCAGTGTCCAGAAGACACACAGTAAGTACACTGGGTATAGCTGCAATGTGTTGTAGAAAAATGCTTTTGTGTTGTTTCTGGCACCCAATCTTCTGTCTCGCATTCTATTGGCTTTTCTTAAAATGATTGAAACAAGGAGTCAGTATCACCGAGAAACAGCTTACAGTGATTCTATGCTCTCTTACCTCGATTGTGACTGGTAGCTGTCTGTCTTCTAAGGATGGTTCAGTTTATAGTTTTCTAAACCCACTGCTTACATTGTTACAAGTTGCCTACATTGTCACTCACCTAATGATTTTCCATATTACTCTCAAGGGACTATTCTTATGACTTGCATTTCCAAGAACAAACATTATCTGCATCCTTAAATTTCTATCCTGTTTGTCTTCCGATTATTGTAAAACTAGTTTGAGCACCGATCCCTGGAGCACTCTGCTACTCATACTCTTGCAACAAAAAGGACCTTCTTATTCCTGTCTTTAATACCTGTCCTTAAGAGGATTTTCTGTTTGCGAATAAACATTTCCTTTGATTCAGTGTGGACTCAAGTTTTTAAACAGTTTTACATCTGAAATCCTGTTAAAGACTTTAAAAGTGCAAATAAATCACATCCATTATTATTCCCTTTCACTCCCAGTTTCAGGGTGTATTAGTCCATTTTGTGTTGCTATAACAGAAATACCTGAGACTGGGTAATTTATAAAGAACAGAGGTTTATTTGGCTTACAAATCTGGGACAGCTGCATCTGGCATGGCTGTTTCTACACATGGCAGAAAGTGGCAGCAGCCAGTGGGTACAAGCAGATCACATGGTGAGAGGAAGCAAGAGAGAGAGAGGAGGTGCCAGGGTCTATTAACCAGCTCTCTTGGGAAGTAATAGAGCAAGAACTCACTCATTAATCCCCCCACCTAGGGAGAGCATTAATCCATTCATGAGGGATCCGCCCCCATGACTCAATCAGTTTCCAACACTGCCACATTGGGGATCAAATTTCCACATGAGTTTGGAGGGGACAACACATCCAAACTCCATCACAGGGCAACCTGAAATCACTTACCAAAGTATTTTTCACCTTGGTGCATTATATTTAGTGAAATGGTCCATGATCCTTGTGATCAGTCAGTATCTTTATTAAAAACCCTACCATGCATCCAAAGTAGAGTTGTAGATCTCTCCAGCTTGCTCATTGTGAATTAAGTCACTGATTGAAGATGCCCGGGGTCTCTTCCAAAGAACTTGATGTGGGCAATCCTCTGAAAATCCACCATGACATGTGCTACAAGCATGGTGGCAGAGTTTGTTTTCACTAGAAAACTCAGAATGAATATCTTTAGTTCAGATTGGGACAAGTGTCAGTTTTCCTAATGTCTCTAGTACCTAATATATTGGTTTGCCTTCTCTTGAGGAAAGATAAGTGAATGCTGTAAA